CCTGTTACCACAATACACTCCTGTTACGACCAGTACACCCCTGTTACCACCAATACACCCCTGTTACCACCAGTACACCCCTGTTACCACCAGTACACCCCTGTTACCACCAATACACCCCTGTTAATTACCACCAGTACACCCCTCTCCGCTCATGCCGCCCACCTCTGCCTTGTTCTATAATTCACGACTATGCAGTCATCCGTCTCCTCCCCCGCCGCTGTACGTCGCCCGCCCACCCTCTTAGCCATAATAGAAACAACGCAAGGAGCCCCGAGGGTGGGTCAGCCATGGAGGCCTAGCTATGGAAACACTGATATAATGAAGAAACGATCGCAGGCAGGGGGACATTCTCCCGAGCATACGGTGGAGGAGCTCCGAAGTTCCGCGGGGCGTGCAAGCTCCTAGCGCCTAGTGTTTTTCTACGGGCAACAAAACAGTTAGATTTAAATATATATAATTATATATTCAGGAGTTAATAATGACAAATATAATGTCATTATTAACTTCTGATATATTGTCACCCGATGAGAAAATGTAGCATATGTGGTTTATCTAGTATATCTTATATGTAGTTTAAATAGTAGTAGAAAATGTGGATTTCAATTAAATAAAGTACGATTGAATTAAGAAATTCGGCATCGATCAACAATGATATCACACATCTCGGTCGGGTCTCGGTGAGTCGGTGTCAATATACTCGCTTGGGGAGAAAGGGTGCTCAGTTGAGCGATTTATTCGCCTGACACTCTCAACATATCACGCGCAAGGGAGCACTGATCACAGTCATGAGAACCTCTGCCAAACTCCTTTGGGGGATAATTTACGGCAAGAACGCCTTTCCACATCGAAGCGCAGAGTACAATATATGCCAGTGATCCCATTTACTGCCGGGACGTGATTACAGTCTGTCCCCTCTCGTTCGCAACAAGAGTTAACAGGTAGGCGGAAGACGTCGTCGGCCATCTACCTGAACAGGCAAACCAGTTTCTGAAAATCTGCGCCTATATGCACAAGAGCGTGAGCTCATCTGCTTGCTATGTGCGGGTGGGCACAGCGCCGAAATTCCTCAGAACACGTACATCTTTACATTCAGTGCGGAATATGTCCAATCGTGAGAGGACGCCGGCTTGAGAAGAGAGATCACCAGCTTGGATTCCTCGCGAGGTGGTTCACCGATAGTAGGATCGATATTAAGGTACGTAACAAAACTACCAATATTATCCTTCTGTGTTTAGAATTCACACGTCTCTTGCAGGCAATCATGAACACGTACACATACGCGCACTCGTACACATATTTCAACGCACACATACAATGATACATACATACACACACGCAACAGGCACACAGCCGCAGCGACCGCAAGGCAACTACACACACGCACGCACTCCCACACACATACACACAACACACGCGCGCACTACCGCACACGCAACACACACACAGCACCACACACAAACACACACAACACTACAGCACACACAGCACACACACACACAAACCACACACACACCACACACACAGTGCCGGCACACACACACACCGCTCGTACACATATACCAACACAGGAAGAGAGAGAGAGAGACGCACGCACGCGCGCACGCACGCCCAACGTGTATTTTCTTGCTCATGCTCAACGACCCTTACATCCCGTAATTACATCGCGAAAGGTTACGTAGCGGTTAAGCCCTGAGCTAGGGTACGTTCCATAAACGAATTTCTGAAACGAATTCCAAAACGAATTTCTGAAATGCAATCTCATCATTATGTCGTATGTCTCGTGTCAGAACTGAATACCGTCGCCGATAGCAAGCTACACAAAAAATTCGACTTCACAGTGTGTATCTAATATAGCTTAGCGTTCTTACCCAGCGGGATCTGTCTGCCACGACTGATCGTTCTGACTGGTGACAATCGTAACCGCATAATGGTGATAAACGAGCAGATAATTGTGATACACGGAAGAATGTCTGGCTGCCTAGATACATATATCGTTGCTGCGAAAACGTCTGTTTATATATGAAAGCAGCTATGAACTAATGCATGATATCATTATCCTATATTGTACGTAGGTAGGTCCCGGGAGGTAGGTATAGCTATAGTAAATTATAGAGGTGCGTGGTAATAACAGACAGCGGAAAATATTCTACACTGTAGATCTAGATTCAGACCTGGAGGAATAAAGCTATATATATATATATATATATATATATATATGTACATGTATATGTTGCATCCACGTATGCAATTTGATCACTACACCAATAAATGTACTGGCGTACGAAACGTTACGATGTTAACCCGTGTTGCATTGTGTAAGGTTTAGTACCAGTAGAGTAGTACCAGTAGTGGAACCAACGGATGTACCAGCAGTAGGATAGTCCCTACTATTCTTCCCTGATTAACCTGCTGATGGGCACATCTCCCGTCTGTCCACGGAGGCACAAAATCCCCTCCCCGGGTAGGCATAAGCCGCCGAAGACGCACCAGACCAGAGCTGACAAGAGCAGACCAGAGCTGACCAGAGTTGACCAGAGCTCTGTCTAAGGCGACAGCGCGTGTATAATCGGGGGATGGAATCTTGCCTGTACCGGTTGCGCGCGCGCTTCCCACGAGCCAGGGGGGTACAATCGCGAGCGAGAGTAGAAAGTCAGCTATTGTAGCTATTGTCGTCCGGCTGACTGACTGCATTCCGGTAGCCGTCATCACGTTGGGCGAGGGAGCGAGGTGATAGGTTGCTGTACCCCACATCGAACTATACACGGAGTGTATATATTATGGTATATGAAACTAGACAAACTAACCACTATCGCGGGTATTAAATTAATGTAGTCGATATTGTATACATTTAATACATAATAATACATAATAATACATAATAATACATAATACATATCAATTAATACATGAATAATGATTAGTAATTAATACATGTAATTAGGAGTAGATAATGACAAATATTTGTCATTATCTACCCCTGATGTAATCGATATATGTGATTATACGTAGAAGCTGGTCGATGTGAAGTTTCTAAACAACCATTTGGTGAAGAATCTAACGAAACAAAAGGTGACGTAATAACTCATACTGTTAATAATGCAATTAACGCATATTTGTCTGTAGGCGTCTCAAAGACACCGTTACTGAAATTCACCGTCTAGGTAACAAACGTTGCTAGTAAGGTAATAACTGTGATCGTTGCTGTACTACTGTATAGATCTAGCCAGGAGTTAATAAAAGACAACCTTATCCTCTTGTCCTCTTTGTCTTTTATTAACTCCTGATCTAACTAATGGTATCGCCTTCGTGGGGCTAATTTTCAAATTCACCGAGTGTTCCGGTCACCGTCTCGGACTAATGTTCCGGCAACGCAACATTAACGGAACGCAAGCGAACGGAGATCACGCCAGAGTACGTGTATAGTCGTCACGGTGGTGTGTGATGCCGAGTGTACATATACCGCCGAACCGTACTATACGGTTCCCCGCACGAGTGCGCGCACCGCGGCCACGGTAGCAGCAGCACACACAGCAACCGCTACCGCGCCGCTTCCGTGTTTGAACAACAGACACGAAATCGCCGTGAATAAAATTCCAAGAGATTACCTCACGCGTGTGCAGAGCCGGCCGGCGACGGGGGTCAATGATTCTAACACCCAACGGCCCTACCCCCCTCCCTCCGACCAGAAACTGTTAGGTATGTACCTACGCCGTGGGTATATGTTTATAGGTAGTGTATTTGCAAAGAAAGAGTTAAGAATGAGTAAGGGTGACAGGGGGTGGTGCTGAAATTGGTGAAGCGGACATGGAGGCGTGTGGCTAGGAGAGGGGGAGGGGAGGGGCGGGGTAGGTTACGATGGAGAAGTGTATATAGTTATGAAAAGATCACGCTGAATATACTGTACTGGATAACAATGTGGAACATGTAGGGTTGTTCGCCTGGCCAGGCAACGGCTTCTATATAATCATGTGTGGTTATAATCATGTTGAGCAGTATGTCCGATAACCCAAGTGAATATTGTCGATGCGGTGTTCACTTGCCTGCGTCAATATATATCTGACGTGATATATTCTGTGTATTTTGATCTTGATTTCATTGCTCGTCAGACCCATACTGGCATGTGTGTGTAAGAATGCTAACATATACACTGTAATCGCGATTTCCAAACTTACCTCCTATTCCCGCGCATGAACTTATTCGATTCCAATTCATACTTCTAATATTCCATCCTGTGTTATAATTATGTTAGAAATCTTATATTAAACCACACACTTGAAATTTGCAACACGAAACACGGCGAGAGCAGACGGCACATTAACAAAAATAAATTCGCTGAAACAAGGTTGGCGTCATTGTAATTTTTGTTATTAATTTGTTAATTTATTTATTATTTTTTTGTAATTGCTAAAATTTGGTATATTTGCTCTGTCAACGATTTCTAAGTAAGAACGTAATTATTTATAGCGAAGCCAGTAATTGTAAAGAAGTGTGTGTGTGTGTGTGTGTGTGTGTGTGTGTGTGTGTGTGTGTGTGTGTGTGTGTGTGTGTGTGGCTAGTGTCATGCATACGTGGAGTGTGTACGTGCGCGTACGCTGCGTGTGTCACGGTGTGCGTACGTGCGTGTTACGTGTGCGTACGCGCGTGGTGTGTCGCGCGCGGCGGCGCGGTGTTGTGGTTGGCGGTGCGGTGCGTGTGTGTGTGTGTGTGTGTGTGTGTGTGTGTGTGTGTGTGTGTGTGTCAATGCATTATGCTCCGTTGGTTTATTATACAGGGATTATTACGCCCTTATTTTTCATAATGATCTCGATTGGCGGATTACGCGTGTTTGACAATGACAAGCGATGGCATAGAAGGTCACCACTGTACAGGTTTTCAATAACGGCTTACGCCATCGTTGGTCCGTTATTACGGAGCAACCGATGTAAACCATGTCAAGTGTGTCTACGCGCATGGAAACCGCGAAGGTTTACGTGCTTTTGAATATGCATATCGAGGCGTAGATCCCTGTCCCGGCGCGCGATCACTGTATATAATTTGAGATACGATCAAGGCGCTTGGTTAACATGCTCAGGTATGGACCATGACGTTATAACCTCGAAAATGATACAATCTTAACGCCTCCAGCGGTAATTAGCATTGCTTTGATATATAACAACGATATTAGTGTTATTTCACGAATAACCTGGATTTATATGCGAATTAGCTTGGCACGCAGATAAAATAAATAGACCTGAACAGCGAAATGACTAGCCTGTGGGCCTGTGGGCCTGTGGGCCTGTGGGCCTGTTTTCAGATGTTAAACAGGAACGGTAGACAGGAAACCCATAAAAAAGAGGACGGCATACATCAACCCTCCACGTTGACAATGCATTGACTTATCGCCGTATATGTCCCGTTCTGACTCCACGGTAAAATTTACTCGGATATCAAGCGATCCACTGCGTACAAGTACATTATTGTTACGAATACCGCTTTTCCTGCCTAGGCCTTTAGCGAGCTTTACCGAAAAGCACGTCTGTCCTGGGGCAACAAACGTGGACGTGTGACATTTTGAAGGGATTTCGCGAAGAAAATGCATTAAACGGCTAAGTGCTGTAAATTGAGTTTCGCTGATGGTAGAGCAATGAGAGCGCACGCTGTCGTGCGAAAATACGGACACGACCCACGACCCCTGTTCAACACAAAGCCCACGTTGACATATTGCATTCTTAGCTGTGTGCGGTTCTCTCTCTCTCTCTTTTTCTTTCTTGCTTTCTTTCTCTTTCTTTCTTTCGCTACCACTCACTCATCCTGTCTAGATCGTGAGGCTTTCTTCTCGCACCGCTATGGAGTTACCACGCGCGCGCGCGAGTAAGTGAAAACCAATTTCGAGTCTAGATTTACGACGAGGCGGCGATTACACTAAGTGAGCAAGCGAGTTGCCGGTAGCAAGAGAACATTGACTTCCCACGATTAACCTCTCTCCCCAGTTTGAACCTCTCCGTCGTTAGTCGGGGAGCACGCGTGCTTGGTACGCTCCCGTTTCGCTGTCGATAGGATAATGATAATTAAATTCTTACATATAATCATTATTCATTAATCAGTATTGAACATTCATACTTAATACACTATAGTTGCGATATAGTACTCTCTCTCTCTCTCTCTCTCTCTCTCTCTCTCTCTCTCTCTCTCTCTCTCTCTCTCTCT